TATTCTAGTATGGTGGGGTTCAGCAGCTGGAGGCACAAGTTGACTCTCAGGTTGTTTGCTGTGTAGAAAGAGGGACTGCTGTCAACCTACAGTTCTTCCCGGAAATACACTTTGATGATGGGGATGGACATTTCTCTCATTGGCATTCCCATGAATTGTTTATCAAAGCAATGTCCTGCATGCTGAAATTCACGGCCAGTAAATTTGAAAAGCACAGATGCTCATCACTTAAATGCTGGCTGCACAATGTGAAGGACACCTGCATCCACCTTAAATCCTCTGCAAGATGGTTGACTCTGTGATGGTCTGGGATCTGCTGCACAATTCTGTTCAGTGTGCTGAGGCTCTGTGTTCTTAGTTTATGCACTTCCAATTGTGGTCCATAGTTAGGAAGTCTCTGTATGTGGTGGGCTCTGCAGTGTACTACACAAATTACTTTCCTGGCCATTGCATGCCACAGGATTTCACACTCCTGATCCATTCTCAGCTTGGGTTCCTTAGACTGTGGGCCTTCATTCTTGGGATTCATCCTTTCTATGGGTGGAGAACTATTCCAGTAGAGGTAGTGGTGATGTTCTGGTCCTATTGATGTGTATAGGACTGCATTTAGTAATACCCTATCCTCCTCACCCTGCTTCTGCTGCTACCATTTCCATGCACTCCCTTCTACTTTTACCAGGATGCACATGGGACCTAAGATGGGCAGGCCTGTGCTTGTGCCTGTTGTATGATTTGTTGAATCCATCCATTTGTTGAACTGAACCCCTGGAGAGCTACTGTAGATTAAGTAGATCACACTATGTTTGATGGACCAGTAGTCTAACTCTGTAGAAGCAGCTTCATATGTTCAAATGCATAATTCAAGAATTATGGAATTTGAATATTCATCTTTGTAATTTACTTTATTGGAGAAACATTTGGGTTATCAATATTTTTCTGTTTCAGATGTGCTTAGTGTAATGTCAATGAGCAGGCCATTATCAGTAGTCCTGGGTACTGTCTGTACTTGTAAGAATGGAGAGGGGGACCGTGCATTATAAGAATATAAATGGCAGGATAAGAGAGAGCAGGAGTCCAACCAGATAAGGCAGGGCAAAGACTGCTGTGAGTTTTAAAGTATTAATTCTAATGTTAAGTATTGTTGCAACATGGACAAAGGCCGAAAATAGAAGCTGGGCAGGGATTAGCTTGGAAATTTTATATTTTTAATATTCTGAGTATGTTTGAGATTAGTTTACTGCCTAGTAGTTGTTAGGAAAAGGGCAACTGATAGTTAGGAAGTCTAGTAGGTAGGTGTGGTGCACACTGTGCTATATTCATTTTGAGCTTGACGGTGGTGTACTTTGACCATTATAGACTGTGTAAGCTTGGCCTTGGAATCTGCTGATTTGAGATACTGATGCTTTGAGGAAACATGGTTTTCAAATGCCAAGTCTATTGCCTATCCATTGCAAATCTCTGTGTGTAGAATTAGTGTTCTGCTTAAATCTGTGTTGATGCTGCTAAATATGGCTCTCTCTATATATACTCTGGAGAAATGTAAGGTTTAAGGAAGGAATGTATGTACTTAGTAAAATCTGTTCTGTGTCATGGATTTTCAGGTGCATTTTTTCATGTTGTATGTTCATAGATAGAATTGAGTTTTGCACATACACATGCATTTGTATAAATATGTTTCTATGCATTTGGACAAATTCACTCTAATGAAAATGCATAAATCCCCTCAAAGTGCACATTTCCTGCTTTAATCTATGTAAGGGTGCACATTTTTGGTTGTTGTTTTTTAATCTGTTACTCAATTTGCATATAATCAAGGAATGTTAAAGACATTTCTGCAAGTCCTCAGAATCCATGTGACTTGGGGAAAGCTAGTAATAGAAATCTGAACTTATTTGAAAGGGTTGAGGTTTTCTGCATCTCCCTTACTTTTAGGCAATTATAATTGCCTAAATTAAAATTCCTGCAGAAGAGCCCTACTGTATCACACCAAGGGTCATCTGGTCCTGCCTTCTCTTCACAAAGCAGGCAACCAGCTGCCTTTCAGAAACTCTGAAGTGTGTGTGTGTGTGATTATTTTGCACTGTCAGTGTTCCTGTCCTTGTCTAAGCTTTGTTCAGGCAGGGTTTTTTTAAGTGTCTGTATCCATGGTTGCCAGGTCTTATAGGACTCTGCAGTGTGTCTTACCACCAAGAACTCGACTAGCTGACTGCCATTCTTTAAGCTGGTCTCTATCGCTGCAAGTCTTACAGAAGTTAAATAAAAGTGAAATAAAACATTACCTTTCTCCTCCAGTAGCAGCAAAAAGAAAACGTTTTCAAAATGTAAAAACCAGAAATATTCCATAGTTAAATGTGTTTCTCATTTATTTTGTATGTAAACAAATGGTGTGCTTGTCAAGCTGTGACTGTGTGAAAGAGTTTCATAACAGGATTCTATGCTACTAGATGGTTTTAGTGTTTTTGTACCATCTGAACTTTTGCCAAAACATTAATATGTTTGGGTTGAATGTTTAAATGCAAGATGTTTAACTCAAATTACTGCTTTTTGAGGATAAGATCCAACAAGGGAAATATCTAAAGAAGCTGTCAGGTGAGCTTTCCATACTTGTTGTCTCTGATTAGAGTAAGATCTTAGATGTGTACTTCTGAGAGATTTCTGACTTGTGTGAATTACAGAGGCAATGACTTTGTGTTAACTAACACTGTGAAGGAGTAGCATACTAAAAGCCTAGTTAACTAAACACCAGAACTGGTTCATACCACAGAATAAGAAGGGACTATGGATTAGCAGTAAGTAATCAGCAAAAGGGTCCAGGTTTGGTTTCTAGCATTTCCTGTTTAAAATGGGTTGGATAGAAGTTAGTGGGAAAGACCTTGCCCAGCTAGAAGCCCTGGAGAGTCTCTAGATAGATGAATATGAAGTCAGACTACGTTTCTGTCTGCAAAATCTTCCACAGTAGTGATAGTGAGTCCCACTTGCACTATAAATGCCTTGATTTGCTTTGAAAACTTCCTGAATAAAAGACTACAGCTGTTGTTGTTAACGCAGTATCTTAGAAGTTGGTCTTCAGAATTGGTCTGAATCTACTCTTATTTGATTGGAGCAGCAAATATTCCTCATGTGGAATGGAGCTTGCTTAGCAGAAAACCATGCTTTCTGTACATGTGGCCTCCCCTCCCCACCCAGAAGAATGAAATGGTGGGTTAGAAAAGTTGTCTGTCTTTTGGGTGGGAAAGGGATTTGGCAGTTTCTGTAGCTTATTGTATGGACTCAATGCATGAATCAGTACTGTCCTGTGGAACTGTTTCTTGCTGGTATCAATGGAGTAACTCCATTTGTACAAACTTTTTTGGCAGGGGGTGGGCCTAAGTTTTCCATCAAGGACTTTAACTCTTGTCACCTGCTCATTTATCCCTACCATCCTACTGAGTCTGCTAGGGACAGCATGAAGCATGCCTACTAGATCTTTTGTTTTGCTGTAGTTACAAGAAAGTGCATTATACAGTGCAGTAACACTTTACATTTCAATTTTGTTGAATACTGTTGGGGGGGGTCTTAAGCCCAGTTTATTCTCTACTTTTCTGTGGTTCTTTGTCCAACATTGTTGCTCAGTGGAGGGCCTTCGAGGAAATACAAACACAATTGCTCTAATCCTACAAAACTGACCTACATGTAGAAGAGTGTGTGTATTTTCCTGGCTTGGTTCATCTTCATGGGATTCCTTAATCCAGGAGCATGGGGAGGCTGCACTCCCTGCCTTCCAGGAGAAGCTTCATGACATAGTGTAGACCAACCTGGCCACAGGAAATTGCTGTTCCTGTGCTTCCTTTCCTCTTCAGTCTTTTCTTACAATCCTTTGGTATCATATAGATTAGATTGAGGGCCAGTAGGTTCTTGATTCATGTTTAGAAAATGTTTGATACTTCAGAGCTGCTGTTATTAATGTTACTTGTTTGCCTTTGCTCTCTGCTTCAATTAATAGTAAATACAAGATGGAAAGCCTGATGAAACAATGCCTGATTCATCATTCTTGGTTCTAGGGTTTGCCTGCCTTGGATAACACTAGCTTAGGTTGACAGCTGCCAAGAAGCTTACCATATCTTGCCTTCGAAAACCCTTGTAAAGAACATTGGTGAGAAGCTCTTTATTTGTGTCTTAAATTATTATTCTGTTCTTATACACTTTTAAATTATTGCACATTCTAAAATGTTTGAATTTTCTTTGAATGCCTTGCTTTATTTAGCATGGTTGTCTCAGCTTGTGTTCTGCTTTGGGCTTTTTCATGCAACCCGTCAAGGAACTTTGGAAACTCTAAAGTTCTTTGACCTAGGCAGAGGAATGAAAAGGACTGCTTGTGTATTTTATCTGTGACCTTTTAGTATTGATGGATCAAAGTGAAATTGAGACTCTGTGTTCTTTGGAATAAAACTGATGCAAGAAAATTAATCTTTAGGGATATATTGTGTATTTTGGAACAACTTATTTGCTTTTTTGTTCTATTGAATAATTGTATCAATATGGAAGATTTATACTTCTGCCTTTCCAGCAACTCTGTATGAGGCAGTTTACATACAAAATGAAAACAATATAAGCTGCAAGTGCTATGTATCCATCCCTCAAAACTCTCAGAAGCTGCTTACAAATTTGCTCTCATGAAATTCCATGTTATGTAGTTAACATGTATTTGTTCAGCTATACATAGCTAGCTTGTGAACCTAGAAATGCAAAATTTTCCAGGACCCAGGATTTTCTTTCATGAGGCACAGTGATTTATAACTGTTTATCACATTTGTATTCCATCTTTCTTTCAAGGAATTTAAATGATATGGGATTATTTTACTGTTGTTTTCAGGATAAGCCAAGAGTTTTATTCAAAGCTTCACAATGAAGTGGAATCTTGAACTTAGTATTCAAACATCTGTTAAAGAGGCCTGTTATGATATCAGCTGAGATAATGATAGGTGAGCAGCTAATGGCCAACAAAGGAGTGCATGTGCCTGAGTCCAGGACTGCTGTGCCAGTGCAGACATGCTTATAAAGTGGAGTTCTAGAGTTGGTTATAGAATTGTGGTTACTCAGAGCCAGCCATTCTTTGCAGAATGTTAGAAAACCACCTTCCTTTATTGATACTGATCAGTGGATGGGCCAGGGCTCTGTGACTGGTGTGGCTGGCTCTGACAATCCTACCCAGTCATTCTGGGTTCGGAGTACATGGGGCAGATGCATTTTGTGTTGTTCAGATCATATTAATGTGTTCATTACTTAACTCCCTTAAAACATGCTTCTGGTATTGAGAGTGTTCTAATATTTTACTCTTTCTTTCGACCTTCCCCAACCTGGTATTCTCCAGACATTTTAAACTACAGTTCCCATTATCTTGGGCCATTGTGGCTAATTATTGGGGTTGATAGAAGTTTATTTACTCTATTGGAGTTATGTGCTGCCCAACAGACAAATGTCCTCAAGATGGTTTCCTATCAAAAGAAGCAATAATAAGGTGACCACTGAGAAAATATCATAAAATTCGCTTATTAAAGCCAGCTTTAGGGCTAATAAAAATTAAAGAACAAATACCTGCTGGAAATAAAAGTGTTTGACCTGTTTTCTAAAAGCATATAATGAAGACATCTGGTGCATCCCCCTGAGAAGGCTACTGCATGGAAGGGAGGCAAATGCAGAAAAGGTTTTTTGCCTGATGGCTGCCTCCTACACCACTGTGGACCCCGACGCCCAGGGAAGAACCTTTAAACATGATCTTAACAGGACAAAAGGGAGAAGACTGCCCTTCAAATAGATGGGTCAGAAGCCATTTAGGGCTTTAGGCAACTAGTGCTGCAGTAGATTTATGACTGTAGTAATATGTTTGAACCTGACAGTAAGCAGCCTCGCGGTTCTGCTCTGCACTTACTGAAGTTTCTGGATTCTGTTCAGAGGGAGCCTCATGTATAATGCATAGCAGTGATCTAAGTTGGATGTTAGGCAAAAAAATCCCTAAGTAGGGGAAGTCTGTTATTATGCTATAAAGCAAATGTAATGTTGTCACCTAAGCACTTACATGGAAGAGGGAATTTATACAAAGTGCACGGTCAGAAGCCTCATAATTCAGTTTCCACACCACGGAATATGTATTTCTATGGCCTCTGTAAAACATAATGACTAATCCTATGTATAGAATTTTCCAATTTCAAAATGTTACTGGGAAGTTTCTAGATTGAGATCAGCTGTACTTTGGCTAGTGGTGTTTTCCTGGCATTCATTGGACTTGCAACTATAAGGATAGAAACCTTTTATATCAGTTAAGTTCTAAAATAGCATAATTGTCGTTCAGACTGTAATTATGTCAGTCCTGAATTGCTTATAAAAGATAAGATTTCTTTTTATAGTATATAACTTATCTTGAATTCAAGCCAATTTTACTGTTAAGTTTGCAACATAGACTTATTCCTCTTCCTAAATTCCTATTTTTTCCTGTTTCCCTGTATGTGCCAGTCTTGCCCTGAGAGCCCCAAATCATGTAGCATAACAACTCTCTAATAGTTTGACTTCAGTCAGTACATTTTAGTACTTGCAATGTTTCTAATGCTAAATAGCTTCCCTTTAAAAGGTTACAAATGTGTTCTATGTCATTTGTTTTTAAGAGAACTTGTATTGGCAAATTCCACCCTAGCTTGTATTCATTAGAAGCCTGTAGAATACAATTAGCAAATTGTGATTTTTTTGGTTTTAAGCCCCTGCTTTGGGAGCTTTCCAAAAGATAATACAAAAATTAAAGCCCATTTAAACAATCCTTTTAAAGCCACTTTTTAAAAAGGGAGGTGAAAAAGGAAGCTAAGGGGAGCCAACAGGTGGATAGTATGAAAAGATTTTATTCCAGCAAGTACTTTTAGCAGCTTGGTAGACAGATGTGACTGTGTGTACAAAGCATAGGTGCTCCTGAGACTTATCCAGTGAGCTTGGTTCAGAAAAAAGTGCTGCCTCACTTCTGTTGGAACCCAGGTGCTGGTTGCCAGATGCACTTTTGTAAGCAGCAGGGGCTAATGGCTGCTTTTATTTTTTTCAAACCCGACTGTTGTAATAGGGAAATGCTAGAGCTGCACATAGCCTGAACTTTATGTATTCAAAGGGAAAATGATACTGGTCATTATGCTCAGTGAGAGCATAACTCTTTTCCTCTAGTTTCCTCTAGTTTCCTCTATTTTCCTCTAAAAATGCCATTATGGACTGCATTTGTATAGTACTGCACTGTTGTGGTCCAGAGATAGGGTACCAGTGTGCCACTTGGCAGACACCAGGATGCCCTAGTTTTCCCACTCTAAAACACACACACACATTCTGTTACTTTTTTTTGTGTTGCCTTACCAACCATGGCAGCCATTTTGTGATATCACCAAAGACAGTTTCTCTAATCAGCCACTGCTTCAAAATAGTCGCCAAATATTGAAGGAGAAACTGCTTCAGAATGACTGCAGCTGGACCTAAATTCAGCTGAGGGAGTGGGGTGAAGAGACTGAGTTTGTGAGGGGAGAAATTTAGCTGCTGTCTCTGCTTTAGTCTGTTTAAAGCAAATTTTGTGCTATCCTTGACTGGTTTGTGATGAGTGGCACAGCCTAGGGCTGCTCTCTAGTTGGGATTCAGCATGGAGAGGCATTTTTAGTGCAATGCAGAGTAGGTGCTACAAATGCACATTCTTAAATGCTTCTTCAGCTACTCAGAGCTCTATCTCATAATAGGAAGGCAATGGAGGTAACTGGCACAATCCTGGAAGGTGCATTTGGCATGATCTTAAGCCCCTGGTCTTTCAGGTGCGGTACAGATTGTTTATAGATAGCATTTTCATTCTGCACTTGAGCCAAAAAACTTCCCTGAGTAGCTTGTAAATTTAAGAAATAAGGCAGTCTGTACCTCTAGGCTTGGAACCGAAGAGACATGGCACCCTGGGTCAGGGAACTAGGAGGAAGGCGGGGTAAGTTAGTCTGCTTAGCATTTTCTTAGTTGGGGAAGAAGCATTTTCTTGAGTCCATGATTCAAGTCATATAATAAAGGGTTCTCTTGGATCATGCCAGTCTGGGTCCATCCTGTCTGGGCTTCTGTTTCTCCCTGTGGTCTCCCAGAGTCCTCTGAGAAGTATACAAACAAACTACTAAGGAGATTGCTTTCTCCTGTCCTAGCTTCCTAGCCACTCGTATCTAGGCCCATGCAGCTTCTGAAGCTGCAGGTCCATATAATCATCATTAGTAACCATTGCAAGACCTCTTGTCCTTTAATTTGCCTTTCTAGAGTCATCTGAACTAGTGGCTGTCCTTACATCAATCAATACATGAAAGATGAACTGTGTAAAGGATGACTTTACAAATGACCAAATCCCTCTCCCCTGCAGTCAAGCACTAACCTGCATTTTCTGTCTGTGCCTTGTGTTGAAGAGTGTGACAGAAGGCATGGTGGAGAGAGGGTCTTGAGATAAAAGCATGGAAGAACTGCGGTCTGAGATAATGGAGTTGGCAGGCTTATTATATTCTACTTAACAAAGTGGCAGATATTAATAAGGCATGGGTGGATGGGTGCACCAGGTTCAGTTCTGCAAATTAAACAATGGAGAATGATAATGATTAAAATAGGGCATTGGTAGGCCTTTGTTTGGGCTCATTTCAGGTAAGAGTGTATCTCTCTTCAATGCAATTTAAACTTTTTTGTGCAGGCATCAAGTGGTAGATCACTAGGTGCAGTGCGGGCAGTTGTTCCTCGTTTGATCAGCAGTAGTCATGTACACAAAAAACCACACTTTGGATGGATTGCTAAAGTCATCTGTGTACCTTTTAAAGGAAGAGGAAAAGGGCCAGAAAAAGTGTTTCAGACTCCTAGGCATCAGCATTAAATTTTATGTGCAATCCCATCCTGGGGCGGAAAAAAATGTTTAAAGATAAGTGCAAATGACCCATTACATGCAATTAAGTGTAAATTTTCCCCGAGTGGTTTCTTTAAAATTTAGGGTAAAATTGTATAAAGTGATAAGTTGCCATACCATGTTGAACAGAGGGTGTGTGTGTGTGGTTTTGTTGAGGGTCTGTTTAACTCTTTCCTGTCAGTCCAGTTTTCCTATTTTTTTCCTCCCTTGTGGAGTTGCTGTGTTTCTTTCCTTGCAGGGATTAAAAACTGTGTGTTACAGGGAAGGGGTGAGCCAACTCTGAACAGGAAATGCAATAGAAGGAGTGATGGTTAAGTAGACCATGGCTCTCTGCTCAGGATCATAACCTTCAGGAGCAGATTTTGATTTGAAAAAAGGAGACAGGGGTCCTGTTGGTTTTAATATTTACAGTAAGAAATAAGATGGCACTCAATGAAGACCTCAGCGTGTCACATATACACACAGAGCAAACTACAGGCTTGAAGGGCAAACAGCTTAAACTGAGTGTGGAATGAGCCAGTCTACATACTCATGAGCCAATTCAATGCAGAGGAAAGGAGGGGGGAATCTTCAAGGTCCCTCACTTAACTGAATTGGGAAAAATAAGTCTTCTTTGACCTTGGATATGGTGGAGTCAAATACCAGAACAACTAGGAGGAAGGAAAAAATCATAAGAGATCATGCAGAGAGGAGTTTCAATGTTCCATATCTAGGTTCCAGAAAGAATATTGATTTTAACTAATTAGCCATGTCTGACGACGCTGTCTAGTGAAAAACAGAGAATTGAAATGTCTGTGCCACTGGGTGTCCATTAACTATATGACTGTGGCCAGATAGAAAGAAGGAGTATGCAACTAGATTGTCACACTTGATAATTACTATAATTTTTCACTACCTTTTTTAAGAGTTCTGTTTCTCAGAGTATGAACAGGAATCCCAGATGATGCCAGTTAGCACACAGATGGATTTGGGAGTTGTTAATTACAGTTTCATCAGTTCAAATGTATTTATTTATTTATTTAAAACATTTTTATGCCGCCCCCATCGCAACAAAGCCTCGGGGCGGCTCACAATGTAGTCTACCAGATCTTTGAACTTGATGTTGATTACTAAAGTTGGGGGGCATATATGAATAACTAAGTGAATCTTTAAGTATAGCAAGTGATTATACCGAAAAAAGAAAGGAAAGAAAACAATTGCATTGCAAAATACTTATGCAAACTAGTTGTAGATGGCTTGCATTCTTCACTGAATGACTAATGCATGTTGTTAGATTTTTATTTTTATTTATTTATTTTGCTCTCATTTGTAAAAAGTTGACAGTGAGTTGATTTGAAGTTATACAGGCAAATTTATTGGGTACTTGTCTGCTGACTGGGCACAAAATCTGGAGGGTTTGGTAGAATTTGGCCCTCTAAAAGTGAGATCTACATCTAAAACTGCATTCCAGTGTACATTTAGCTGAAGCAAAGCCACTCTGAACTTCATGGAATTCATTTCTATATAAACATATTTGGAATCTGACATTTTTGAAGGGAAATTTGGCAAAGGTGTATAGAAACTCCAGAATTCTGCCAGTTCAGCTTAGATGTTATCACTGACAGAAAGCAAAATGTACAGGTGTGGTGGATACATTTTTTTCTTGATATGGACTGGTAAGCTCACTGTTGTATAGAGGAATAAACCTCCTGGGATTCTCCCCTTTGAAGACTGCTTCAGTATAGCAGAACCAGCTTAACTTCCTTAACTTCTGTTGGCAATGCAAGAAAAGGAGCTCACCATTGGAAGCTGACTGTGCCTGTGAGTCATGTGACTTACAGCTTTACCAAAGAGTCTAAATTGTCAGTTCAACCAGTCACTCACGGCTGAAGGCATAGAATAGACTCTGGGAGCTGGGATCTCCTGTAGTTAAGAGGTGCTGTGGGCAAACGAGTACTGCAGGCAAGTATTCTTTTCAGTTTCTACTATAGTGATTTAATCAGTAGATTGGCTTTTCCTCTCCAATCCAACTTCTTCAAAGTTTAGCAGAAACCCATTTGGATTTTCATCATATTCACAGTGTGATCAGGTTTTTGTACTCTGGCAAAAAGCAGGAATGCTTACGAATCAATTTAAAAAGTAAAGGCAGGTTTGCTTTAAACATTCTTAATTGCTCTAGCACTGAAGTTTATCTTTTCTTTCCATATGGATATTGGTTAAAATTGCCTTTTTGTAAATCTTTGATTTAGTGAACTCCTTTTCAAGATAGATTCAAGCATGTTTGTTTCTTAACATCCCTACCTTTTGTTTTAAGTCAGCCTTTTTTGATCTGAAACTTGCAAACTAGTTTCAAGAAAATGAACCACAGAATTGTAAATCCATTGCAAATACTTTCTAGCATTATATATAGTATCTCAACAACTTTGATTTAGCACAGAATGTTTATTTTGTGTGGTCTTTTTTGACTTGTGTTGATCTTGCATCTAGGGAAAGCTACAGTATTTGAAATGGGTAGTTAAAATAGGAAGGAGGTGCATGCATAAAGTGTGATTAAAACTTGCATGGTTATCCATTACCAATTTAGAAGCACTACTACTTCTTCCAGAGCAAGAAAGTATTACTAGTATGTTATGCCAGCTCCAACTTCAGCCCAGTAGGAGAGGGAATGCTCATGCCAAAGTGAGCTGAGCTGACCTGACCGTGTTTTAAAAAGTCCCTAACAGATCTGGAGCACTTGCCTTTATTTCTAGGTCGGGGATCTCTCCCTCCCTCCCTCCCTCCCTCTGACCTGGGGATGGCTGAAATCAGCAGGTTCTCAGCCAAAATTGTACAAATCTATAGATGCCTTGGGCAATTAGTTCTCTGCTGCAGGGCTCTTTCACTCCCTCCACCTCCATGCCGTTATGTTCAAGTTTTTAGACTTATATGCAAACACAGTTTTTAACATTTAAAGTAGTACTTTCACTGCACATCTTTCATTAGAATTTACAAAATGCAATGACTAGATTAGAATAGACAAGTTTGCATTTTGAAGATTTTGATCTTGTTGTAATACGGTCAAATCCTGTATTTTTAAACTATTGGTGATTAATCAGCTTGTAGAAAATTTGAAGTGGTAGCTATGGTGTAAATGTAAAGCTGTAGGTAGGATATAAATGTTAAATTTAGCTATGCTTTGAGTGCAGAAAAAAGTTATTTTAAGAGTGTTCCGTAAGACAAGATCCAGGTAAGCCTATGACTATCCCATCTGTGTTCCTATATTGTATTTTACAATTAACTTGAAGTCTGAGATAGAATTGAGCTGAAATAACTAGGTTCCGTAGACTTATTCAGCACCAAGGTAATAGGAATAACAAACATTTGCAATTACACTGGCCTAAGAAATAGGGAACTGAGTATGGGGTGGCAAGCAGAACCACAGCAGAGTGTGCTGTTGTGCAAGAAGAAAGCTCGGTGTTTGGTTTAAAGGGTCTATTGGTAGAATCACAATTGTTTGCTGACTTTGTCAAACACGTGATTCAGAATAACGTCAGTTACAGTCTATGAATTGTTCCTTAGTTACTTTTCATTAACTTTACCCTTGTTTCATTAGTTGGTATGCCTGTGACCATGAGAGGTCTGTCTTATGTTTGGAATTTTTATATAGTGCCCCCACTTTTGAAGTACTTCATAAATAAAAATATTACTGATGCTGAATTTAATGGCAATTTTGCACCAAAGTAACGTCTCTCACCCCTCCAAAACTTAGAGTGATAAGTGTTACTTTGCACATTATGACTTTTCTGTGCAGATATTATGTTAGCATATGAAAAAATGGGCCCTGTTTATGTGACAGCTACATATGTATTTGCTTTGCTGCATGCAAAGAAAAGTAGACAATATTTTGATGGAATATTACCATTTTTCTAGGGGAACTAGTTGGCAACTGACAGCTTGGAAAATGTACCATAGTAAGAACTATAACAGAAAAATTTCAAGTTTGAAAATTAGAAAGGGAACCCAGAATGCTTTTAGTAGGTGAGAATGGGGGTGGGGGGTGAGAGCCCTAAATGTAAACAAAATAAACAGGAATCTTAAGAGCTTGAAGCAGATGCAGAAAGTAAAAGGGGAGAGTCCAAAAATAAGGGTGATGTGAAAAGGAGACAAAAAGAGAATTCTCCCTTCTGATGGTTATATAGAATCTGTTGGTAAACCCTTTCTATTGGTTCAGGTCCCTTGGGAATTCCCATTACTCAAGAGGCAGAAAAGTATCTCCATGCCCTACTGTGTACTTAATTTAACCAGTGAAGAGTTAATTGTGTAGCTTATTTCCCTAGTAACATGTTTCTAGCTGAGGCTGGAGACAGAGAATAACCTGTGGGAAGAAATAATATGGGAGTAGAATTACTTCCTATGTTCTGCGAATTGCCCCAGTGTCATCAGACGTTAAACAGGATTGCATATGTTGAAATGATAAAGAAACCAGTTTATCAGGCTTAAGCAACCTGTGATGATGACAGATCTGTTGACTGGAGTGGTTCTGCATTTAAATTGCAGGGGGGCATGGCACTCTGAAAGGGAAAAGGGGTGCTTGGGAGCTGAACCCTCCTATGACTTGCCTCCATTCAGTTCTTCATTTCTTACACTTCTTTTACTGCATTCCCTGCCCCAGCTGGGCTGCTAAAGCATTTGGGCCCACTCCTCCTATAAAGAGCCTTCAAAAGTTGTGGATTCAGGTCAGATGAAGACCAGGGGCCAGAATCTGCAGCTGAAATGCTAAGGCCAGTGGGCCCAGAGATAAGCCTGGTAGTCGCTGAGAATCGGACAGTTTTCTTGAGATAGTTTAGTGAGCATGCAGCTAGCTGAGGGGACAGATGCAACATCATTAGTCCAATCATATAGCATCAGATTAAGAGGGGGGACCAGTTGCAATCGGCCCTTAAGCAGGAAGATCCACCTTGAAAGTGTGGCTTGATTTCAGTTTGGAAGGGAGGAGAGGTATTCTGTTTGGAATTAGCTTTGTAACGATACATCACTTGGTGTTGACCAAGTGAAAAGCTGTGCCTTTCTAGGGAAGTGAAGAAGCAGTTTGCAGAAATAATGACTATAGTTAAGAAGTAGAAATCAAATATGTTTCTTGCTATTTTTGTGCAAGTGTAATTGGATGTCTTTATTAGCTTATTTGTGTTCAGCTGTAAAACATGGCTGACTTATTTTAATGACTTGAGTCAGTCTCATTTAATGTCAGCATAATAATCTGGAAAGCACAAATTAGTGGTGGGCATGCTTTGATTCTGAAAATTGATGTGTAAATTTATACTGCTTCCTATAAACCAGCTTCAGGTCTCTGGGGGAAAGAATTGTGCCTTTCACTTTCAACAGAATAGGGACAGTAGTACAACTCAGCCTCAAGCTAATCAGTTCTACCTTATGGAGAGATGTAGCTCAGTTTAGGGGGATGTGCTAATCAGGTGTTACCTAGCTCATTTGTTTGCTTCTAGGTTTGCCTCTTTAAGCTTCAGCTGCTGATGGTTTTCTAGGAGAAGGAATCTCTTTAGTACCTGGCCCAGGTATCTAGGTTGTTACATCTTGGATATAAAGTTGTGCTATTAGATAACATTATTATGTAATTAAAAACATAGGATAATACAGGCATGGGACTATTTCTGACTCCCATTAGATGCAACTTTGGTTAGAACTGTGTGAAACAATTCCAGCAAAGTCCATTAATTTTGAAAGAGGATGCAGTCTTAGTGTAGAAAGCACGAGTCTGGGACAGTTGTGGCACTGACATGGGAAGAATGGAGGATGGGGCATGCAGGATGATTGTGGTGAAGTGAATGGGAATTTCATGGTATTCCCATTGAATAGCTGGTCTGAGGTTTGGGGGAAGAAACAGAAAACAGTAGCCATGGGTGGGGAAGTTCCATGCAAGCCCTTAAAAGCTACTATCCCTGATTACTTGAGTACCCAGTGAATTTGTGTGTCTAGTTTCTGAGGTTTAAGTAAATAGTGCCTGTTCATTGTCAAACTTCTTTGCAGATACAAAGGCCTAGAAATGTGGGTTTTTTCACTCTTCAATAAAGTGAAAGCTGACTTTCAATAATGCATCTGTTGTACACATTTTTCACTTGTATGGTAAATCACAGTGATAGTTTTAACAAGCAAGCTGATTTGCAAAATACCAGTAATTTAGACAGTGGAACAAATTTGATCAGGTACTATGGTCTCAGCATCTGTATTTTCTCTCTTATAATGTGAGTTGGAGCATGGTAGATTTTCTTCAATGGAAGGAGAGCTTCATTTTTCAGACTGTCTTAATTTTGGTATATTTGCAAAACCTATACCAATCTGAAGCAGACATGTTACGCCCAGGATGTTTCCCAATCACGTTTCTTGAATTAGTAGCACATATTTGTCAATGTAGTGTGTATGTATTTGCATCATCATCTAAGTTACCAAGATAAAAATAGACTGTTACTTTGTACTGTACAAACTTGGAGCTGGGGACAGAATGGAAGGCAGAACCATGTCTGACTGGGGAGTAGGACATAGTATTCTTCATAGCTATGTGGTTCATTTTCCTCAGCACCATTTCTAAATTTCTCATGAACGGTTTGGTTACTACTGGAGAACGCCTTTGCCAAGCAAGCATCTTCATTGCACTCTACAAATAAGTAGAGTTATTGCTATTTTTTAAATCTTGGGTGCTGGCCATCAGATCTCTGGCTAGAGTGAGGATGAGATCGTGTTCATTCTTCATTTCTTTCATTCATATGTGGCATACTAAGGAGATGGTAGGTAGTACATATAGAAATAATGCACAACCACAGTTTCAACAGAGACATGCCAAAGATCTGTGGCCAAGACTGAAGGAAAAATTATTGTCTCAGTTTATTCTCACATGATCTTAAAATATTTGTACTTGTACTGAAAGCAGAACTTTGGATATGTTCTATGGTTGTAGTGCTTGAGTTAGCACA